GTGCAGCCTCGACGCCTCCTTCCCCGCCAGCGTCTCCATCATGGGCAGCGACCCCAAAGTGCGGGCGGGGGCTGTCGATGTCGTACGGTAGGTGCCCTTCACATTGTGAGGACAACCTGCCCCTCCTTTGGTGGTGCAGTGACAACCCAACTGGGGTAGCAGGGGTGTCGGAGCAGGCTGCCTTCCTAGGGATAAGCTGGGGGAATCTCCTGCCGCCCCCTCACCCAGAGAGTTTTCACAGCATCTGCACTGGTGCCTTCTCACAGGAAAGCAGTCTGCTCCCAGTTTTGGTCCTGAAGCCTGCTGTGATACCCCGCAGCTCTGCTGTGCATTCAGCCTTGCTAAAATCCCTGTGGGGAGGAATGTTTTGGAGGCACCACCCATGTGTGATGCACTGGGAGATGCTCGGTGGCTTCCCACCAGCAGGACTGTCCCCATGCAGGCTCCTGGCACCAAAATGTGTCCCCTCCTAGGCACTGGCAGGACTCGGGCTACATGATCATCTACGTGACGGGGCGCCCCGACATGCAGAAGCACCGCGTGGTGGCCTGGCTCTCCCAGCACAACTTCCCCCACGGCGCCGTCTCCTTCTGCGACGGGCTCACCCATGACCCCCTGCGCCAGAAAGCTGCCTTCCTCCAGAGCCTTCGCACCGAGGTGGGGACACTGACACCAGCGGGGTGGGGACGTGGGGCTGGTGGTGGTGCAGGGGGTAGTGTGGGCTGTCTCGCAGCCCGTGGCCTTCTGTCTCGGGGGTCAGTGGAGCTGCGGGCACAGATGCTCAGAGCTGGACCACGCTGCAAGGGCAGAGCTGGCACTGACCCCCTGCCCTGGGACCCTGCTCAGAGGAGCGGCTCCCAGCCTGTGGGTGTTGCAGTCATCCCTCATAGAACAAGAGTGTCCCAATCCCCAGGGGTGGCTGTCCCCATGGGAAGGGTCACTCCTGGCCCTAACGCTCCTGTCCGTGGGCAGGCAGAGATCACCATCGTTGCCGGCTACGGATCCACCAAGGACGTCTCCGTCTACAGCTCGCTGGGGCTCACGCCGGCGCACATCTACATCGTGGGCCGGGCTGTCAAGAAATTCCACAACCAGTGCCAGGTACGGTGGGGGGTGCTGGGGACAGGTTGGGGTTGCAGGGAAAAATTCCTGATCCCACTAGAGCAGTGGGAGCATGCGATGGCTGAGGCTGCTGACTTAGGTTGTCTGTGTGTCCCACAGTTCCTTTCCGAGGGCTACGTAGCCCACCTGGCTCAGCTGGAGGCAGCGGCCCTGGCCCACTCCCCCAAGGGACCCCCACGACCTGTGCTGGGCAAAGGCACCTACGGCTGCCCGGCGCCCGTTGACTTCCTACGCAAGCAGAGCCAGCTCCTGCGGTCGCGGGGCTCCAGCCAGGTGGAGCGGGACGGGGGGCCCTCGCCAGCACCCCCTGGGCTGCCCCGGGCCAAGCCCCGCAGCGTCAGCCTCAAGCTGGAGGGTGAGGAGTAAGGGTGGCGCGGCCACCATCCCCCCTCTGCCAAAACCTTCATTTCCCAGCCAGGAGCACCTGGGACCGGAGCCTGCGATGGACCCTGAGCCGATAGGAAGGAGATGAGGGCACTGGGTCCCCTGAGACTGAGGGGCGCTGGGAGACAGCACTCTGAGCCCCCTCCCCTCCGCCTCCCGAGGTCCAGAGCGATCCCCTCGGGGCTGAGCCACCCCAGGTCCCCTCCTGCTGCCCCCTAGCTCTGCCTCCACCCTGCTGCCCTGTCCCCCTGGTCCTTTGGGGCTGCAGAGCTGCTGCTGGGCAGTGCCTGGGGGAGCTTCACCCCCTGGGGAGCTGGTGCGCTGCTCTCTGGGGTCCTCTATCCCCGGGCAGCACTGTGGGGGCCAGGGCTATGCCCCAGGGCAAGCGGCACCTCCCTGCTCCCCGCTTATTTATTTCCGTTTGGTGTCGCCAGCCACAGGGCAGGGCCAGGATTCAAAAAGCGGTTCCTCTGTTCTCTTTGTTTTGTTGCGTTGTGAAATAAAGCGATGTAAAAACGAGGCACCTGGCCCCACGTTGTCTGCTCTGTACCTGCCGGCTGCAGCAAATGGCACTGGGGCTTCCACCCGCCCCCCTGCCAGTGAAGCCTTGGCCCCAGTAAGCCTTAGACCCAGGCACATGGTGTCACACAGGGAGGGGGCCTTGGGGCATGAGCAATTAAGGATACCTCGTGGTGGGGGAAAAAAGACAGCCTGGGCTGGCTCTGGGCTGCGCCGCTGCACTTGGGTACGCGTTGATGCCGACATCAAGCCGTACGTCGCCCGAGCGGTCAAACCTTCTGCGCAAGACAACAGCCGTGGGGTTGGGGCAGGGATGGAGGGACCGTGGGGACAGGAGGAGGAAAACTGCTGGCTTCAGCGAGCAGAGCCCGGCCAGGGCTGCTCGGCCACCCTGCTGTCACCTTCGGGCTGGGCCTGGGGTGAGGGCTGGGGGCTCAGCTTTGGGCTGCAGCAGCGTGGGGCTGGGGTGGGTGGGGCACGCACTGACATGTGCATTAGAACTGGTTTTTTACACAGTGAGCCCAGGCTGGAGCCCTGGCTTTACACCTTAGAACAGCCGTTTAGCAGCTATAACACATCCATGATGGGTGTGTGTGTGTGTGGGGGGGTGTGCTTACCACAGAGAGTAAAAACTCAGTTTTTGCAGTGAGTTTGTAAGGCCTCAGGCTGGGGCTTGCCAGGCTCCCCCCCCCGGCCCTGTTCCTGGCCTACCTCCACCTTCGTTTTACCTCATTTACCAGTAACCGCAATTTTTTTCTAAGTGATCAGGTGCCTGGGACTAGTTGCACTTTTGTTTATCTTGGCATAGCATGACCAGAGTTTTATATAGATAGCGGTAACAAGCAGTTTTTCTATATAAAATATTTACGATGCTGACGCGACGCTGTAGTAGAGGAAACGCGGTCTTGGGTTGATAGCAGCAGCCTTGAGAAGTGACGATGCAGGACGTGGTGCGGAGTACAGGCACGAAGGGGTAAGAGATGGGGCTGAGGCTTGGCACCGGAGCCCCCGCGGCTGTGAAGAGCTTGGCCAGCCCCGAGCGCGGTGGCTCAGCCCAACATAAAGTATAAAAACATCAAATGACAAATAAAAGAAGGTGGCAGAGAGCAACAGGTTTGCGCTCATGTCACCCCACATGTCCCTTCCCAGCGTGACGATGAGCGTAGGCTAGAGCCCGGCAAGGAGCTTCACCATTAGATTGCGCTTCAACCGTGCGCTGCCATTGCTATACGCTGCTTAATACTGCGACTTAAGTGCGCTGCCGTGTCGCCGGGTCGTGGCGAGCTCCCGGGCCGCTTCAAATGACTTCAAATAAGTAAAACTTGTATTAAACATTAATAAACATCAATGACCATTCCACATGTGGAATATCTAAAAGAACCTGTTCAGAGAGCGCTGGGCTCTCCGCTGCAGCCGCGGGCTCTACTGTGAGAAGATGCCCTTGAAGCGGATCTTGTCCTCGGCGTCCTTCTCACGCAGGCGGGCTTCCAGGCTCCGCAGCTCCTTGGAGACGACGGGGCGCAGCGAGGGGTCGAGGGCTAGCACTTTGGCAAAGTCAGCCTGCGCCTCCGCCACGTTCCACACTGCCGCATGGGCCTTCCCCCGCTTGAAGTAGGCCTTGACGTTGTCTGCGGGGAGAGAGCTGCTGGGCCGGCGGAGCATCGGGGGGGCCTCCCTGCTGCCTGCTCACCCTGTCGGCACCCACCGCAGCTGGCCGGGCCGGCCCATGGCTCCTTACCCTCGTACTTGTTGAGAATGGAGGAGCAGTGATCCAGCACTTCGTAGTACTCCTCGCACTGCAGCTTGCATTGGCAGTAATTTAACAGCAGGGGTGTGATCTTCTGGTCGAGCTCGATCCAGTCTGGAGATCCGGGCTGCTCCTGCAGGATGAGACAGAGCTGGGAGAGTGAGGGGAAGCTCCCAAGCCCGGCACTCCAGGAGGGACGCAGGGAGACCTACGTGCACCCCAGAGAGGAGCCGGGGAGCCCCACCTTCATCTGCAGGTTCTTGAGACAGGCGATGGCATCGTAGTATTTGGCAGCTGCCTCCTGCCTTGCCCTGC